TGTGTTGTGTTGTGCTGTGTTGTGTTGTGGGGTGAGACATTATACTCTTACATTGCTACTTTCTACCGAGGTAGTAAATCGCAACCGGAAAATTTAAACGGGATAACCTTACAATGGAATAGCGTCCCATCCCGCCTTGGAGGAGCAATACTAAACCGCGACCACTTAGCCAAATGCAGACTTGTAATTACCTTTGACCCTTCCCCTATCCCCCTCCCCCTACCCCCTGCTACGACCACCTTTCATAAGCAGCCATCTAAGCGACCGCGGCCACTTTGAGTGTTGATGTTCTGTTGTTCTCACCACCGCTAAAGCGACCACTTGATGCATGATCCAGTTTCACTACTAACGCAAGCTGGAAGTAGTTTATAGAGATAATTTAGAAAGGGAAGTTTATAAGAACTAAAATCTGTCCATCCTGCCAGATGCACTCTGATCTGTTCATGAGGTTGTCCCACATGTCTGTAGTACTAAGAAAGGTGTTGACACTCCATCAAAGTGGATATTAGTTACTTACTCAATACCACCCTAGAACGTCATCCCACGGGGAGGAAACGCTGGACGATATTTTCAACACGCCGTCACGATCAACTTTTACAACGACAGAGGACGATGATGATTTGTTTAAACAAACATCAGTAGTGGAAGAGAGCAGCGTTCAGGACATGAGTGCAGATGATATAGCAAGTTACATTCAGCAAAACACATCTGACTCAAATGTCAAGCCTGATTTGTTTCAGGAAATGTATAAGTAATTTTACATCTACCAATGCTTTAAATTCCTGTGGACTCGAACACAATGCCATCTCAGAGCTGCTGGATGAAAAGCCGCCATCTTTAAATTTAAAAATGCCAAGTAGATCCGAGCACAGGGTTTCAAACTGAGCTGAAATTTGACGGAAGCAGGAAGCTATTTTTATCACTGTGTAATGTTTAGTAAGCCCCTTTGCTGATTTACTTCATCAATAAGAGGACTTAAACCTTGCTTGCACGTTCTTACCTTGGCCATCGATTAATGTACTTTGTTCTTTTTGTGGTAAAGACTTGCAAGATATCTCTGTACGTGACTTGTTTTAGTCACGCATAAAGTGTGCGTGACTCTTATTGTAGGATTTAGCGCCTGTCGGTTCAGACCTGCTATGGGTTAATGTGACGTGACGCATTTCATGGCAGCCATACTGTGGGCACTCCATAGCCGTCCCTTTGGCGATGAAAAGCTTCGTCATAGAGTGTTGGTTTTTGAACTCTCTCTTTTTAGTGGTCACGTGTTGCTTTTCATTATAACATAGATAGATGAGCAAATAATTTCTCTCAATTTCTTGAAAACAGTAAAAATGGAATCTGAAGAGTAAAGAAAACGTAACTGCAAATCAAAATTAAATGTGTAGGTGAATAACACATTTTCTAATAGAGAAATACGTATAACTCATTTAGGATGAAAGAGACTGAACAAACTTAACTACATTGTTTCTTTTTTTCGGGCGAAAATAGACAGAAACCTGTCAAGGTGATTATAATTCCAGGTTTATATACAGTAAACAAATCCCTCAGTTTCTTAAAGGAATTTTTAACTTAAAAATAATTAAAATACGCTGAAATTCTCCGTGACTTTGAGACCCAAACATGGAATATCGAAGAATGGTTTTATTAGATGGTAAGATCTATTCTTTTAGCGCTATGAAACCATTTGAGACAATATCCATATCGGTGGTAAAAAAATAAAATAAAACAAGACTTAAGTAATGAAAAAAATATTAATTAAAAGATTCCTAAAGGATTTGTATGGTGTGGGTTATATAATGCATCACCACTGAAGCTGTAGCTGTATCATATAGAAACACTTCTTACTTGACTCTTGAATACCTATATAAAAACAACATTGACTATTGTTTGACATATAATTGTTAATTCTTGCATCGCATAAACACTTCCTGATTATGGCGTGGAAATTGCCTTCTATCTTACAGGGATATCCACCGTCCATTTTCTCTCGAATTCATTAAATTTTCCTTTAGGTTGTCTAGAATGTTTTTCGAAGCTTAGCACAGCTTCATTAATTTTAGTCTGCCGTGTAACATTTGTACCGTTCGGACATTCTAAGGAAACTTCTTTCTTGTCCATTTCCCGAAAACATGGCAACGTGTACTGTTGCTTTTCCGAAAATCCCAGCTAGCATTTCTTCGGTGCCCAACACGCCATTTTTGTCAATCCGAAAACAACCGGCACTTTGAAGTGACAATTCACTTCAGACAATCAGAGGTACTTCGGAACAGTTATTTCATTATATTCCAATATTCCGCTGGGTGCCCCTGATCTTAAAAGCATCTCCACAAATCCAGATGTTTATTGCTGGCGTGGATTATTATAGGAGTAGTTGTGGTCTATACAGCAGTGCCTCTTTCTCTAACGCTAGTTCATACGCTGTAGAAGCTCACTGAGATCAACCAGCGCGCCAAACGTCTGGAATTTCCAGTACGGTGCATTCAGCGAAAAATGTGTTTACCACTGACCAATCTCATTCCTCGAAGTTCAAGATTCTTTTGGCCAGCACTACGCTTCGGCAACTCTGGTCGAAATCGAAAAGTGAGCCAGCGTTTATCACAGCAGTTGCTCTCTCCACCTGTATTCAGAAATCATCATCGACCTTAGGCTCCTGGCCCCACGTGCACAATCAAATAAAACCAGAACTAGGATTTTTACCGCTGACCGATATCGAGAAGTTCTCTTGGGAGGACCTCTTGGGGGGTTTAACTGGCGGAATTCGTGAGCGACTGAGTTCTCAGTATTTCTCCCGGTTCGTCCGCGAGTACCCTGGCCCATCACCCGTCTCTTCACCAATCCCCTCCCGTCCCTTCGCGTTCACGCATGACTTTGTCAAGAAAACGAAAGCATTCGCGCGCGAAATCCTGTCAGCTACGCAGGCTGAGGTTTACCATTCGCCTCCATTCACCTTTATCTGCATTTCCCTGTCTTTTGGCAGTTTCGACACATATACCTGGCTACTCAGCTCAGTTCCAAGCGCTTCCAGAAACCATGAACGGAACAGTTTCTCCGTATTAATAGATTTACAACGTAGGATTTCGGCTACTCGTTTTGCTGTATTGACAATGCCTCACTTCGATGCAACTTCCTGTTTTCCCTGAAAAGCCGGATGAGATAAAATGTTAAGGATTGACGTAAGGAATACCCCTTCGTAACTTGACAGACAAGAAGGAGCTGATTGTTTAGATCGAATACCAAGGCTTTTGTAGTTTAAAATAGACTTGCAACAAGAAGTAAGAACTAACATGTCAATTCACATTTGTATCGACAAATCTGTAGGTCTTGTAGATGACGTATATACGAGCTAGCAGCAATATTTTGACAACAGAAAAGACGAAACTAGTCTATACTTAAATAAATATAAAAATAACTGTACCGTGACAACTGAGTTCACTGAGAATTTAAATTTCAAATTTTGTGAAGGTTACGTCCACGCAGTCATCTGTAGCTGTTTCTTAAATAACCGATTGAGTGAGCATTACTAAAAAAAAGAAGACAAAGCAAAGAACCTCTAGTTTCTCACAAAGCTGCCGTGTGCTATGAGTGAAAAGCGATCAGATAGTGAACATACTAATCCTGTAGCTATATTGTACGAAGCTGCTCGGGATGGTGCGGTTGTTGTACTCAGTGATGTTCTTCAGCGAATGAGTATCAGTGAAAGAAGCACCGCTTTAGAAACGAAAACGAAAGATGGCGACCAAATCACCACTCCCTTAATCATCGCCGCTCGCAATGGAAACCTGGATTCTGTGAAGATGCTTCTAGAATACAATGCAGACATCGAAGCTCGAGGAACTGTGAAAGTTAACGGCCAAGTTATTGAGGGTTGTACACCTTTGTGGGCTGCTGCCAATGGACATCTTGATGTTGTGAAACTGTTAATCGAGCGAAACGCGGACGTCGACGGAAGAAATTTGTTAAACTCGACTCCTTTAAGGGCAGCTGCTTACGATGGACGCCTTGATATTGTAAGCTGTTTGGTTGAAAATGGGGCCGACGTTGATGCACCTAACAAGTTTCATCGTACCCCCCTGATGATGGCATGCTACTATGGCCACATGAACGTTGTCATCTATCTTATCGAGCGTGGCGCGAATATGGATCTTCAAGACATACAAGGCTACACCGCCCTACACTGTGCTGTTGAAGGGGACCAGTTTGAGACTGCCAATAAACTGCTCGCTCTTGGGGCGTCGCAATTGCCAGATGTTCAACGTTTAACACCACTTCTTTGGGCGAGTAATAAATGCAAAATTGACATGGTGGAGTATCTTATAAAGAGACCAGAATTTACAAAGGAACAGAGAATTGAGGGGCTCGAGCTTCTCGGTGCCACTATTGCCAATACACGTGGTGTCTACGAGACTGTCTATGACATTGAGAAAGCATTTTACTACATGAAACGCAGCATGAAAGAGAGGTTTCAAGACAAATCGTGTCCCCTTCTTAAAAAGCAAACGGAACCCCTTGAAGTTTATCAGAATAGAAAAGAGAGCCAAACCCTTGAAGAACTTGTTCTGTTAGAAGGTGATGATCATGCCATCCACATGGAGGGTCTTATTATCAGAGAAAGAATCCTTGGAACTGATAATACAGAACTTCGCTTTCCAATTGAATACCGTGGTGCAGTTTTTGCTGACTCAGAGAACTACGAGCTATGCATTGGTTTGTGGGAACATGCAATGGAGATAGGTCAACGTTGCAATGTGGCAGTCACAAGCAAGTTACTAGACATGGCAGGCTTATTTTCCGTTATGCTGCACAAACAAACGCTTTTGAGATCGGAATGCGTAGAAAGAGTGTTTGAAAAATTGGTTGTAGAATGCGAGAGACAGAAAGAAAAATTGATTTCCATAACAATGACACTGGAAGAACATGAACCTACACTGTTTAGTCCCCAGTTTGAAATAAACAGATTGTTGCATTGTGCTCTGTATCTATTAATGATATACACCAAAGTCCAAGTTCCAGAAAGAAAGGAAACCAAAGGCATTTTTGACTTGATAAAAAGACTTCTTTGCTTAAACCCTCGCACTCGTGATGGAAATACACTTCTTCACTTGGCTGCTTGGCATAAAACCGAAATTACGGTGCCGAGAAATGTACGCCTTGTGTGCAAGCTTCCATGCGTTGAGACCATGAAGCTTATTATGCATGCAGGCTATAATGTGAACGCCATTAACACCAAAGGAAATAGTCCTCTTCATTTAGCTGTGACTTTTAAGCCCAGTACTAAAGATCTTCAGCTGTTAAGGGATGTGTTGGAGACATTGGTTGATGGAGGAATCCACGAAGACACGGTCAACAGTGAAGGCAAAACAGCTATGGATATCGCTGAAACTGATGAAGCACGCAGGATCCTTTCTGTGAAGCTCACATTGAGGTTAAAATGCATTGCTGCCAGAGCCGTAAGGAAATTTGGATTATGTTATGTTGGGATAGTTCCTAAGACTCTTGAAAGATTTATTAGCTTACATTAGGGTTGCTTTCGAGCGGTTTTCAATCGAGTGTAGTTAAACCGAAACCAAAGTTATTGGGTGATTACTTTCGACACTCAATTGAAAACCGCTCTACTATCCTAATACTAATTGTTACATGCTGTTGTTCGAAGAATAGCAGGAAATTGTTGTTTCATGGTTCGCCGGTTTTGACATTTTCTATGGTTACGCAAATACTATAAGGACCGGATTTTCGCCGAGTTGAGCCATTATATGCTGACGTCGCTGCCACCTTGCTTTCGTTTCGAGATTTTCAGGGTTCTTGTTAAGGCTACTCCAAACCTTGGCGGGTGCATGTCCTCCAGAAAAAAAATTGGTACTCGCGCTGTTTTCAAGTGAACCCCCAGAAACTATATATCAATAGAAAGGTCATGAAATTTAGAATTCGATAAAATTATGTTCTGTTTTGGCTACTGCTTTCCTAAGGCAGTAGTAGTCGTTAACGCCAAAACGACCGACTGACATTCCGGCGAATAGACCTCTTTAGCTTGGGCGGTTTGTTTTCCCATTGTGGACCACGTGATATTCTCTGGAGAATTTTTCTCTTATCCATCTTAAAATTATTCATTCATATACATGCGACTATTTAAAAATTTGAAAGCAAGAATTCTCAAGAGTATCATCACGTGGTCTGCAATAGGAAAACCAACCGCCCAAGCTAAAGAGGTCTGTTAATAGAGTACTGAAATACGATCGATGATGCAAAATAAGTGTGCAGTGTTTATCACAAAGCATGAATCTCTCAAAGTGTGTCTGCATTTTCTTTTATTTCTATTGGTTGTATTATTATAGATCGCGTAACGTGTTGCGTTAGAGGCCGTCACAAGAAAAGTATTTAAAATAAGAGAATTCGCCGACACAATGTTGTCCCTTATCTATGAGTCAATGTTCTATTTAATCGACTATTTAAATCTAAAAATATTATGTTCGACTATTTAAATCTAAAACTAAAATGAACTAATCAGATAGCTCACTTTCCTGAATGACCCTTCACTAGTACTCTTGTGTCTTGTCTCAGTGTAGTTTTGGCTTACATTCTAAAAAAAATTAACTCAGACGTAAATTTTTTTGTTTCGTTACCTTACCGAGTTAAATTGCCTTTATTTTTTGAAAACGCCAGAGGTCATAAGTACGAAGCTGGCTCTCACAGAGACCTGCGCACATGTAGTAAAGGATGTGCCCGGTGTCTTTTTAGAACTTGATCGTGGGAATTTTGCTTAGAATTTTCTTTTATACAATAAATCTCTTATTAAACCAAGTTTGCTTGGGACCTTATACGTATTGGGAGGATATCGGTCTTTGGTCTTTAGTGCACAGACCTCGCTGCGCTCAGCTCGTGAAAGAGCCTGCGAGCAGGCTAAACTATATATTAAGCTACGGACCCCAGCTTGAATGTTTAGAAACGTGTATGTACATTGTAAATGGAATGAGTGGAATACATAAAGCTGGGGAGTAAGCAGTTGCAAATGGTCGGTGATTCTTTTGAACATTTTCACAAGCTAAGCAGCGCGCGTTGACGCTCAAGTTACGCAGGAGTCCCATTACCGCGATCTGAAGTTGGACAGGTGTCCCACATGATCACGTGCCCTCAATGCCGCGAAACATGCCTGCAGAGCATCATGGTAGCTAGTTGTAATCAAAACAGGAAATAGACATCTTTAGCTTGGGCGTCTTGTTTTCCTATTGTAGACCAAGTGATATCCTGTGGAGAATTTATCTTTTATCCATCTTAAAATTATTCATTCATATACATGCGACTATTTAAAAATTTGTAAGCAAGAATTCTCAAGAGTATCATCACGTGGTCTGCAATGGGAAACCAAATAGCCCCAACTAGAGAGATCTATTTATACCAAAGACCACTAGCTTCGGCTATGGTTCCTGTTCATGAATCCACGCTGAGTTTCGTTCATTAGGTCTTCATTGATTGAAAGTCAGAAAAATGCCACCCTTAGACCAGACAATGCAAATACCACGATGTACTGAAGACTTTAAAATAGCCTGAAATCTCATCAGTCGCCCATCCGCCTCGTGCCCAAGTTCCAGGTGCGAGAAACTCGCTTCTCTCGCCTGGAGGTTTGGTACTTAGGCTGAGGGTGAGGAGACAACTGACATTTCAAGAGGGAGCACATGCTCGTGGACGGAGTTCACGAGTTCCAACCGAATACACGAATCTGACTTCGAGTTACTCCATAAATGGCCAGGGACTTGAGGCATCAGTTTTTTACTGACAGACCTTAGCAAAGCTGCGTAGTCTGTTTTTCATACAATTCCTCGAACTTTGACTTATTCCTTACACAAATGTATGAGAATACTTAAAACACCCAAGGCTGAATTGGTCCGC